TCTCACCACTCCTTTCTAACAAGCAACAATATATTACTTTCTAGGAATACGTGGATTTTTAATTTGAAGATTCGCTTTTCCTCAGACAGTCAAGCGTTGGAATTGCAACGTTTTCCATCCATTGAAAGCGATAAATTATTCCTCTCTTAAAATGAGTGGACGCCTGCATTGTGACACGCAACGGCACTACGCTAAAGCGGGGATATCTGATCTGATATTACGCATTTTTGAGTCCCATAGTTTGGATTTTGACCAAAAACCCTTCTAAAAACTAAAATGCTCCAAATATGCCGGGGACCCCCCTCTCCCCCCCNATCTTCGGGCTTAACATTGATGAACGCATTGATGTGACATGTTTACCCAATGCAGCCATGTAGTTTCCATTAAGAGGAGACATTTTCCCTTCATCTTACTGGCCCACAACCCCACCCCCTCCCTACCCCCTTCATTATACAAAAAAAAATATATCCATTTTACGTAGGCGTGCGTCGTCAAAAATGATCTTTCATGGTACATAGTGAGTGGCAATGTTTGTTCAAGTTAGTATAACACCAGCGCTGTACACATTTCACACAACTGTCGTATACATACCCATCTTGGCTCCGTATCTCTGATGAACTTGCAAAGAACGCTACACTTATTACGCAGAGCAGAACTAAATAAATGAATAAATAAGTAAATACATGTAGAAAGTAGATTTCAGGACCAGGTTTCAAAGTGTTGCTCTGTTACTTGATACAACATTTTTCGTCTTTTTTGTGCTTCAGATACTTGTGCTGTCACCAAGGAATGCATCCATTGTTGTGTAGCAAATTCATATGGTTACGAATGTTCATGTCCAACTGGTTTTTCTCTGGGGCAAGATAACAAGACATGTGAAGGTAGTAAGTCATTTGCCTTTCAGGCATACTATTCCATGTACTGAACGCGCATTGAAATGCGCAGCTTACTGAGTTCCGCATTGGTTATCATTAGGTGGCAAGCATGGCGCCTGCCTAAACATTAATTAAGCGCTCAAACTCAACTTTTTCTAAGTGTCATTATAAAAGAATTTCACGTGTACACTTGCTCCCCTTCTAGACTACGATGGAGAAATTGGAAAACGCAGCTTTATTTCTATGGTTAGGCCAACCGTCTACACAAATCTTTCTCGAAAACGGAGCTTCTCGATAAAACCACAATATTTAAAGAGGAAACCGCGTCAGCCTTAGCTGGTTTTAATGCGGGTCCTCTATCCTGGTACTGGAATTGAAATTTGGAGATCTTAGTTTTTTTGTGGAGGGAGGAAAACCGTAGAACCCAGAGAACAACACTCGAAGCGTGGCAAAACCCAACAGCAAAATCAACTCACATATCGCACAGGGCCGGAATCGAACCTGGCCCACACTAGTGCAAGGTAAGCGATTCCACTACTGCGCCATACCTGTTTCCCAAGCTCTTCAACCCTGAGGAATTCGTAAAAGCCGGATTTTCGTTTTCTAATGGACGGAAAACGTTTTGAAAACGAAGCTTTAAAAAAAAAAAAAAGTTGCGCCACAATAATGAAATTTTCTGACCGCGTCTTCTACAAAAACGAATCTAAAATGACCGGTGATTGTTGCGTTTTTAAATTTCTCCGGCGTAGCGTGGACGGAAAACATTTGATGCATTTTCAGAGTGAAAACTCGATCTGTTTTCAAATTTCTCCACTTATGTCCAGTATTGAACGCAAGTATTGTTTAATTAGTACTTCATATTTAGCAGGGTTATTCGACATTTTCATGTTACTTCATATTTGACAGAATTGTGTGTGTTCAGGTAACTTTTTACCAATGAGAACACTTTGTGATGCTTGTCATAAGGAATTTGAATCTCGTTAACGTTCAATCCTGGACATATCTGTTTCCTAGACGACCAGCCACTGCACATTAATGGCTGATATTGTACGATCACTCAGCCAATCATTTTGCAGCAGTTGCATTAATGTTCACGTAAAATTCTGCTGATGACTGACTAATGAACGAGAAGCCCTGGGCAACACAAAGCTGACCAGGGTGTGTTCTGCGACTTTACAACTAGAGCTATGTGCTACCGAGATAAATTTTAAGTCTTAATAAAACTCTTTCTTTGGTTTACTTGCAGGCAATCCTGGACCTAACTCATCTCAGGAATCAACCAGCTCAAGTACTACCGGTAAGTAATTCCAGAGAGAAAGTTATAAATAACAAAGAAGGATGTTGGCATTCTAATGTAGCAAATTCATCTGGTTACGAATGTATATGTGAACAACAGGTCAGGGTATAATTTGCGCCGAAATTTTGCCTTTGCAAGTACTCCCTTCTTCTTTCCCAGAGTAATAACCTGGCTTGAGGCCGCGGTCCAATCGAAAACCCAATACCTGGTCAGCGGTCAACTTCAAAAAACACGAGACCTCGATGAGAGCTTGACATGAGCCTGCCGTGTGGTCACATGATGCTGGTCAGCAAATACCTTGTTTTGACAGCTGTCAATTAACTATAACATGGATGTCCAATATCAAAGATTTACCTATGGTAATGGTGCTACTCTCTTATTTTTCATGGCGTACGGACGTACGTACGGACAGGCACGCGGCAACCAAAATTTTTGAGATCAATGGGCTATCATATTTTCCAAGGTATAGGGCTCCTGTTTCCCGTACAGGTCGGCGCGCGCACGGTAAACTGTCCCACTCTCCCTCTTTCATTGATAAATTTATTTACTGCAGCAGTTGGATAATCAATATCTTATTAGATGCTTTAGTGTGTAGTATCGCTGTATATTTTTACTCGTTGTTTGTATTTTGACTTGCCCATTCTCTTAGACTCATGAGGTTTACTGACGTCATAGTGCGAAATTAAATACGAAAAATTTTCCTTGTACTGAACGCTCTTTGAAAAGTGCAGCTTATTGAGTCCTGCGGTGGTAATCGCTAAGTGGCAAGCATCGCGCTTGCTTAAAAACCTTATTTACGTGCTCAAATCCAACGTCTTTAAGAATCATTATAAAAGAATTTCACACGTACGTTCTCGCCCCTTCCACATTGCGATGGAAAAATGTGAAAACGCAGCTTTATTTCTATGGTTAGGTCTTACGTCTACATTAATCTTTTTCGAAGACGGTGCAGAGGGATTCCATACTCTTTCGTCTTTGTCAGTTTACATATTTGATTTGCCTATTTCTACACGGCTAGTCAGGTAGTCCACGAATATATTCCGTGGAATAGTCCGGAAGATATCCCCTCGAAATCTGTTTATCAGACATTAATGAATAAAAACAAAAACAAAAACAAAACAAACAAACTTTCTTATGAATCAGGAGCCATAATCGGGGACGCAGACCGTAAGCGCGCGCCAATTCTAGTATTGGGGTTG